TTGTATGCATCTTGAAAAAATCTTAAAAACTATCTTAAAATATTGAGGTAATTTGGTATGTTAAGTAATTTAATTATTTATAATATTATATTAACTATATGGTTTTAATATTATTTTTTAAAACTGCTATATATTTTTAATTCTGATTTTGTTTCAAATCAAATATTTGAACTAATTTTGACAATATTATTTATTAGTAGATAATCACCAACAAAATGTAAACCATGCTTTTTAATATATATATGTGCATTTTTTAATTTCTGCATGATTTTGATATATGTATTATTTATTTAGTAAATATCTAATTACATCTAAATGGAGAATGATTGTTGAAAATTAAGTAAAATTTTGTAACCTTTTCAATGAACTATTGCAATTTTCTGGATGAATAGTTGGAACTGATTAAACTGAAACCTTGCAACTTTTGGTTATCAACCATTTAAATTTTTGATGACGAACCATTGCAATATGTAAGGATGAACTATTGTAATTGTTGGTAATTGTAGCATTTGATGATGAATCATTATAATTTTATGGAATGGTATACCAAAACATACTTCTTCAGAAGCTGTTAAATCTTTGTAAAAGTATAATTTAGATATTTTAAACAACACTAAAGATGCTAAATTTAACTGCAAATATCATTTGTTGGAAAAACCTGTTAATTCTTAGGTATTTGTTTTTCAAAAAATATTAATGAGGCTAAATTTTAGTAGATATAGGATTTATTGGAATATGAAGTTTTATAAAATTACTTATTTAAATATTAGAAACAATGCCCATGTACTATGCAAATAAGTTCAACATACAATCATAAAAGTTTATAATGTGATTAGTTATTTTTAATCAAGATGAGAAAGCTTAAACTTCAGTATAGAGGAAAACTCGATCATTTTGTATATAGCTTAAAATACAGAAATTTTCTTTTAATGCATAGATGGAGACAAATATAAGATGAAAATAAAGGATTTCTGACACTTTTGTTGTTCCAATTTCTCTAAAATATAAAGATTTCATAGGGTTTAGTTCTTTGATTTACGTGATATAGAAAATGTTATTAAATTATTCGTTGGAAAATTATAATTGATGCCCATCTTAAATTAAAAAAGTTTATAATGTGATTTTATGTGACACTTTTTTTTTGTATTTCTGTAAAGTCATTTAAAAAAATAATAAATGAAGTGATTATAATTATTTAGAAAAAAGAGAAAAATGAACTGGTTAATATAAATTAAAAATAGAAGGAAAATATGTAAGTAACCATTTAAAAATAGAAAAGTAGTGTTTTCTACTTTAGTTTTAATAGAACAGATTACCCTAAAGTCTTTTTATTTAATTTATTTTAATTTCACTTCGAACTTTGGAGAGTTGTGCATCCTTATAGTTTGTCGAGACAAATTAATATGGAAGCAGCATACATAATCGTATAACTAATTTACATATACATTAATCGCGTGGGTTTATTTGATTCACATAGATTTTGACCCCTAATTGAATACAGTTCTTGTAGCAGTTTTAATTTACTAGAAGTGTTGGGATTAGTGTAAACTGCTTCATGTAATCTAGTCCAATAATCTAAAAAAAAAACAAAATCCTATTTCTTTGAATTCAGAGTAAATTTTTGTGGATTGTTTCAAAGATAAAAACAATTAGGAATTTGGTTCCCGGAAGTTACCCCTAAATTTTCGTTCATTGCTTGACTTGCTATTCTTGATAGCTTAGCAACTGGTGATAAGATCCTCTGTTGGAATCCTCAGGCTATTTGTTCCTGCTGGTTGTGTGATTCTGGAACAGAAACGAGAGATCACCTGTTTTTTGATTGTTTATATTCTAAAGAAGTTTGGAGTGGAACCATTGGAAGCATAGCAGGCAATAGAAGATTACATCAATGGTCTCATGTGATTCAGATATTGGTGAAGAGTCTTAATGACATGGATTCAACTTTTTCATTGAGGTATTGTTTCCAAGCGGTACTATATGCAATATGGCACGAGAGGAATATAAGGAGGGTTGGTGATCCATCTCAGCCAGTGTGTTGTTTGATTTCAAGACTAGACAAGCTGGTTAGAAATAGAATTACTTCTTTGAGAAGGAAGTATGTAAAATCCATGGAAGTGTAGTTTGGCAGTACATAATACGTGAAGTTGTTGGAAATGTGGTTTGGTTGTAGATGCTTGCGGGGTTGTTGGTGATGGTGAGCTCCGTCTTTTGGCCTTCTTTTGTATTCGGTTAAGATTCTGTTTAGCTTCTTGGGATTTTAGGATGTTTTTCTGCTGGAAGAACTCATCTCTACACCTTCTTAGCCATAAGATTATTACTTTTTTTCCTTATTGAAGGTTTGTCCTAATTGGGTTTATTTTGATGAGGTTTTAATAAGGATAAAATTATGGCTCTTCCATGCTTGACTTGTTTCTCATGGTTGAGCATGAGGGGAGGTGTTATGATGTTTTAGTTGTTTTTTCTTAAGCTTGATTGTTTTGAGTTGGTTTGTACTCCAATTTATGGCTGAATCACTTTATGTGGAACAAGGTTTTTTTTGTTTGAATAAAATTTAAAATTCTTTCGAAAATAAAATAAAAAATAAGGCCAAGAGGTCACAAGTTCGATATTTGGGGATAGCAGGGTGTTACTGTGTCTTTCAAAAATTTTATGCTCGTTGATGGCGTGGGCCTAAGGCCTAGAGATTTCTCAGGCACGCCTTGAGGATTTATGTACGGGTGCCTTTTGGGGTGGGGCCAGTCACTATAAAAAGTTAAACTTCACAGTTTTGAGTAAGAAAAAAAAAGCGCTCTCTCTCTAGACTTTCTCTCGCTTCTCTCTAGAAAGCCTTAAAAAAATTGTCTCCTTAGCTCTGACGGTTGCCGCGTCCTCCTTTGCGGTCGGAGGCTTTGTGCACGGTGTTTCTTCTTCTCCTTGTCTCTCTCTATAGTCTCTCCTTTTCGGCGGAGGGTGGCTTGACAAGTAGACCTCATCCGATTCAGATCTAGTTCCCGTCGTAGATCTAGGGCGCTCTCGGTGCTGTGGGTGGTGCTTGAGGACGGCGTTCGCCCCGTCGCACCTGTCTCCTCCTTGATGGCGGTCTCTGTCTGGTGAGATTTTCAGATCTCGTTTTAGCTCTCCAGGGCAGGTGGCGCGTGAGACGTCGATGGTCTTCGAGGTGTTTCTGCTCCTTCAGTGTGGCATGTGACTGTTGTGGGGATAGGTTTCTCTCGAGGGTCCGATTGGAGCTGTTCTGCTCCGATCTCGAGTTAGGGTTTTGTTTTCCTCCGGTGATCTCTGTTGGATGGCGTGGAGTCTTCTGAGGATGAGTCTCAACTCTCCTCACTGGGCTTCAGTGGCTGCGCTTTGTGGTTGGCTTCGGCTCTCTACTTCGGAACCTGAGTTATCGGCGATGTGGCACTCCTCCCCCCTATCTTTCCTCCTTGTGCTTCTTGCAGGTACATTGGCTCTGTTGCGGGTTGTAGTGCTGTTTTGATTAGTGACAGGCTGTCAATTGGGCTCTTGGTTTGTGTGTTCTTGCTCGATGTTAGCTGCTCTGGAGGTGTGTACCCATCTGGTCCCTCTGTTCTATATGGACCTTCGGTTAAATAGGTGTATACGGTCACAGAAGGCAGATTTGGAGGCGGCAACCTTTGGGTCTTCCTTTCGTACGACGGCATCGTCAGATTGTGACGCAACCTCGTGCCATCGGTTGTAGTTCGTGTCGGGTGGTGAGCCACTCCGTGCTTGAGATTCTTTGGTGATTGGTTTGTGTTCGGTGGGTCTCTAGGAAGCTGTAGCACCCTGCATCCAAGGTTTGTGGGCGCCTTTCTCTCGGGTTCGTGGCAACTATCGGGCATTCCCGCCCTGTTCCTGTCTCATTGGTCTGACCCTGCTTCGTTGACTTCCGTTGCTTTGATTTCATCTCTCGCCTCAATCGAACTCCCGTTCTTGTCTGTTGCTTGGTGTTTAGATTTAATGTTTGCAATACTGCTATTAGTTTCTATGTACTCTCTGTCAAAAATCAGAAAATTTGGTATCTTTAACATTTTATCAAAAAAAAAAAAAACAAGAATTAAATATATGTTAGGTATATCTTTTTACAACTGATACGATATTATTTTTATTTTCTGTTAAATTGTAGTATGGTACGTATGTTTATCATCAGACAGAAAATGACACTATTTCAACTCTATTGAAATAATTCACTTTCCAATGATATATTTTGAACCAAACATAAACACAATCAGGTCACTTCGATGAGTCGTGGACCGAGACTCATAAATTTCTATGTCTGAAAGGTTCATCCCAATCTCTTTCCAAGTGGAATCAGAACTATACAATCCTAGAAAACACAACATATGACAAGTCCTAAAACCTATCATCCACTTGGTAGACCATACTTGTTGGCATTGTTGTATTTGTAATTAGTAGTCCGGTTTAGATTTTACCACTGTTGAATGTAAGGTCTTCGTCTCTTGTAGTCGAATTTAGGTGGCTATATATGAGGTGGTTTTCCTGAGTACGTAGTAGGAAGAGTTCATCTCATCTGGGTGAAATGGGCAACGAACATCAACTGGGTAGTGTAAGATCCAATAGAGTGATCTGAGGCGATATTAGGTTAGGTCGTTTGTCCTAGTGGTTCAATCTCTTTAGAGGTTTAAAATCATGTGTTACTTCAAAAGTTGGTGAACGTAAGTTGATATATTGAGTTAAAAACATCTGTATTTTGATTTTGGTTGTTGTGGTGGCTATCATTTTCATGTTCCTCTAGACCTCTCTTCTTATCAGCTTGATCACTTTCTCATACGTTATATTGAATATTACCGACGGTTCACTGAATAATCCAGATATTAACAATTATTATACCAGTACTCCTTTTACTTCTTTTTCGTCATCATGATGGTTAGTGATGAAAATCATAATTCATAGAAATTAAGTCATCTCAAAATTTCTTAATTGCTAGCAAAACGGTATTCAATGTATAAAAATAGAAACAATGCATGAATGAAGAAACCAATCTAAATAGTAGAAGATACACAATGAAAAGAAACCAAATAACAAACCGTATCACACAATCTGTAAACTGATGACCTAATTATCTACAGTCAATACAACAACAACAATCCAACGGTCGACATCAATAAACAAGTCAAAACAAAACTAGAACCATAGATCCTCCCAGCAGCACCGAAGTCGCCAGTATCTCGTTGGTAAGTGGACGGTGTGGGAGTTCTAGAACCGTTGAAGTTAGGATTCGAACCATACAAATACTGAACTCCTTCCACGTCATCGCTATGCAAGTCAACCTTACGCCTCCCTGTCGTGAGGGTCGGATACATAATAGAGTCTTGAACCGAGGAATGTCCTAACCCAAGAAGATGTCCTATCTCATGAACAGCCACCGACTCAAGATCAACAGCCGCCCTCTCCGAGAGAACACCGTCGCCACCTTCACCGGAGACTATCCAATCCTCGTCGCTGTCGAGGTGTAAATGACCGTTCGGCGGCGAGAACGCATGCGCCAACGTTCCCATAAAGCCGTCGAACGGTTCACCATCGCCGTGATTGCCGGTGTAGAATCCAATGCTGATGTCGGAGGTTTCGAAACTCTCAACGCGCCTGAAGGTCAGCGGGATCACCTCCGCCCAGCGAACGAACGCGCGTGAGAACACGTTCTTGACCTCCTCGGCCAACGCGTTTCGCGGCTCGAACGCGTATGTTAAGTTTCTCCGGCGCTCTGGCCACCGAGGCGCTCCGGGGAAGAAAGAGTAGCGTTTGACCGCGTGGAAACGTTGACTCCTCCCTGAGAAAGAGACCTCGTAGGTCCTTCTTCTTCCACCGTTAAGCATAGTTGAGGTGCCGTTGACGACGTCGGGAACGCCGCAGCGTGGGATCACGACGTGGTTAAGAGTGAGCTCGTCGAGTTCTCCGGTGATGTTTAGCTTGAAGTTTCTTTGGTACATCTCGACGGCGTTCTTGAGGAGATCGTCGAAGTCGTCGGTGAATTTTCCGGAGAGAGTTTGGGGGATGTAACCAAAGTGTTGGAAGTATTGTTTAATTTTGTAAAGGCCATTGACTTTCATGCCAGCATGGCAGCCGGTTAAGTTCAAGAAGGCGTTCCATGCGCTGTCAGTGGGGTGATGGAGATCCGGCGGAATAGAGGAGGCGTTGGGGTAGAAACCGGCTGAAACGGGAGAAGCAACTAGGAACAACAAGAAAGCAACGAAAACGCAAAACCTTATCATTATAATGTTGGGATTTAGAGTGGAGAGATGAGATATATTATAGGCTAAAATGTGTAGAATCTTAGAAGCTGAATTGTAATAGATTTTAAGAAGATCATAGGAGGATTTTGGCGACTTTCATTTGGTGAAAGCTGAGGCATTGTTTGCGTTTGGCGAATTTTCTTGGCTGGAAAGGCTGAATTTTTCAAATGGAAACTTCCTCGGTCCTAGGCACGTTCAAAGGTCTTATGAAGAAAAGAAAAACTATCAAGAGGCTGCTAATAAATGGGGTGTCGTTTTCTGGATATGTTAATAGTCGAAGTTTGAAACATTCATGAGATAATTGCTTATTGGTCCGAAAATATCAACGTACAATCTCCACCTTAGGGCATCCACATCAATGAACCCCCTCTTGGAGTTCATAGAATCATTTTTTTATTATTAAAAATTTTCTGTTTTCTTTTTGATTTATTTTTTTTTTTAAAAAAACAAAACAAAAAAATCTAGACCAATCCCGAGCCGACACGTGTTGAACCTCAGGAGACAGGGGTTCACCGCAGTGAACTTTAGGAGAGAGGGGTTCATAGATTTTTATTATTTTATTATTTTTTTTTTCTTGATTTCCGTGTGAACTCCCCCCATGAACCTTCAATGGGGGTGCTCTTACACGTGAAATGACATGATTTGTTATGCAATCTAGCAGTAGGTCCGACATATCTTATTGCGTTGACCGATGTCTGTAACATAATTGGGTCTCGAGTAAGGTAAGAGCGTGGTCTGATGTATACATATTATACAAGTTATTTTCGAAATATCCAATTAATACTCGAAAATTCAGTAATTGAAAATTTACTTTCAAGAAGTATTGTTATTTGGTTGACAAAAAGGTATTGTTATTTGGAAAATCAAAATTTATCTTTATGTATATATTACTGATAAATTTATTAATTTTGAGAGACCTTATATATATATATATATGCAATTTCTTCTACTTGCCAATATTTGATGTTAGGACAAACATTGTTTCCACCTTGTTTCATCGTCTAAGTTTAATATACACTAGGGTAAATCCGCCCTATGGACGGGCGAGTAAAATTAATAGTAAAAGTTTATTTTTATATTTATTTTTTAAAACAGAATTAAGGTTTATAATTATTTTACAGCAATTTTATCTATGTGTTTTATTCTTCAAATTATAAATAATAAAATTGTCTAGTTATAATAAAAATTAAAAATATAATCATTTATTTTCTCTCTTAATATTTATTTTAGCTTAACTATACCAATAAGTCACATAGATTTTTAAATTTACAATCAAAGTCATTAAGTAAAGTTATTTTCTCTTAGTTATATATTTGTTTCATGTATTTTCTAATGATTTATGCGATATAAAGAAATAATTTATTTGTTATAAGTAAAACTATTTTATGACAGATAAATAGGTAATATGAAACTATCGTTACTATTTATACATATACATGTTTATTAGAATCTTATATATTATTATATGAAAATGAGTTACCCATTACTTTGATTAGAATTTTTGAAATAATGTTACTGACTAACTTATAAAATATATAATTTTTACAATTATATTGATTATATTTTATTATTGAATACAATTATATTTCTTGTAAATTAATGTCTATTATTTATATTGTGAAAATACCGTCTCTAAGAAGATTAAAACATATTAAAAGTAGATTGTGGCCGGAAGAGTTAACAACATGTTTAATGAGAAAGATATGGAAGTTACCTTGTTTCGACTGATAGAAATAAGGCGAAAGGTCTTGATCAAGACCAACATATGGAATCGTCACACTGGTTTCTGCACCTCAGACCATCTAATGACTGAGTCCGACGATCATAGTGGAACCCTATTCCGCGCCGCTAATTGCAGGACAGACGAAGACCGTGTAACACTTTAATTAACGAAACACTGCGGATTAACAAAATAACGGTTTCACATGGACTGGACCTTTTCGACGAAAATGTGAAGCCCAATTTAATTTTTGAGACAAAAACATAATAGAAAACACAAAATTTAATCAACTTGGACAACCATATCAACATGTTATCACCCTATTTAGTGACATTTCACTCTTAAAAGAGGAAAAATCCTTCTTTATATATATATAGATAGATAGATTCTATCATATAAAGATCATACATTTTTCGAATACCAAAATACTTAATATATTCATATAAGCAAGACGTAAATATTTTACTCTTTTGGAGGCTTAGTCTTAGTGGTTGATTATACGTTTTGTTGGCCAATTATTTGACACCAATATTTTTTGTTAGACTAATTTACATCCTAACCTTTTCATGATTATTTGAATGCGTTGATGTATATTTTATTCAAGAAGTTAAATTGGTTTGTTTGATTTAAGTATAGCTATCTTATTTTATATCACTTATTATGTAGTTTTTCTCAGTTGATACTTTGATAGTCATTTAAAACTTACAAATATTAACCTTAACTTTGTTTGTTATAATTTAGTGTTGCTATTTTTTACACAATCTATATATAATATGAAAATTTTAAAATTTACTTAGAATTTTAAATTGTAAGTGTATTCTCAATTTAAATTTTACTATTGTATTATTATTTTTTCTAGAGATTATAAGTACCGAATCAAGTTTGTCTCACCCTTAAAAATGGTTTCTTCAAATGTAAGTGTTTTACTGTTTTGAAGGGTGAAGACAAACTTAAATATATATATGCGTTATGGTAATACATTGGAATATTCAAACATGGCTATGGATTTTTTCGACGAATCTCTTTTGAACTGTTGTAAACAAATTAGTATTTGAGTGTTGAGTTCATGGTTTGATTATAATTATGATGATGTTATCATTTCTCCTTCATATGTCATTGTCGCCCACCACTATTAGTAGCAGTTCCACCAAACCTTACTCTTAGCTTTGTTCTTCAAGGCTTGATTGCTTCTAGATCTCGTTGTTCAGATTTCTTTTTGTTGTCTGCGTATTTTGAAATTTGTGATTTTCATTATTTAATTAAATAGATCGGAGAACTGAAAAGGAAGATGAACAGACATACGCTATTTCGTTACAAATTAAGCCATCAATTTTTAAAAGTAGAGAGAAACAATAAAATTATTATTTAGAAGATGAGACATGGCAACCTCTCCTTTCAAGTGATGTGGCTCTCTCTATGAAGAGAGTGTTCTCCTTTATATATATAGATATTAGGAGTTGACATAAGTTCTGGTAGGGGTAATGGCATCCACCTCTCTTCCCTCATCACACTCCAATGATAATATATAAGACCATGGGACATTCTTTTGATAATAATACCGATAATAAGACCATGGACAATCTTAGGACGATGAGCATAAATTCTTCTCCGTGAAATATAAACTGAAACTTTAGATGAGAGAGTCCAACACCTGATACCTTATCATATGCGTTCCATATAGCGGGAATGTACTCAATCATTTTTCTCCATTTTTCCAATAGACTCTTGGCGTTATCATAAAAAACCTTGAGTCTAGGACTTTTTCATAATATGATCTATTTTTGTTTTTAACTTTGGTAGTATCTTAGGTCCATGTAGAGACCCATACTAATCTCCAAATGGTTGGTGCAGTCCCCGGATGGATTCTCACTTTGGATATTCAAATGAACCGTATGATAAACTCATATCCGCATTGTCACAAGGTGAAGTGTAGTAAGGTCTTCAATAGTCATTGATCGATCTTAGAGCTGTGTGAAAATTTTCAGTCATCACTTCATTCACAACCATAGTTATACCTTAGATTCAGGTTGATCAAAATATCCTGGGATTATCTCAATCCCAGAAGATAAGTTCTACAAAAAGATTTAAAATATACGATTTTAGAGAACTCATATATTAGATTGGCTTGATGGACATGATTCAATGAGAATAAAAAAAATTGGAGATGTGATAAAGGAAAATAGGTAAGAAGAGAATGACACCATATAATATGGAATTATTAATTTTGTAATTAAAAGGGCAATGAGCTTTCCTCACAAATATGAAAAGAGAATTTTGGAAAAGAAAAATCTAACCCTCTAAGACACACCTAAAGGCCTAAAAGTTATGTTGAACCCCAAATCTCCAAAATTCAATGTTTAAATTCAATGGTGAATTTATGATATTATAGAACTAGCTTTTGACATTAGGAATATGAGATCCGGTATTTCATTATGTATGTCATATAATTAGTCTTTTAGTGAAAATGAAACTTCAAATTTTATTTGATATTACAAATATGGTCAAATATATAGATATTTTAAAGGGAAAAAATAACATATTTCCAGTTTTTTTTTTAATATTATGGACATTTTGGTCCACCTTCCTTGTTCTTCCAGTTATTATAACAAGGACATTCTTCTTTGTGTCCATACGTTCCCGATGGCACGCACAAACACTTTTTACAACAATAGTTACAAAAGAATAAGCATGGCTTCTTGTGAGATGTTGCCGAGCATCGGAAATTGCATGCCCCCGGACATTCTTTATACAAATACAAACAACATTAATTAAATCACTGTTTAGTCCATTCATTAATTATGTAAAAGCAAGATACAAATTTTAAAAAAACTTTACGTTCTGGTTTAAGTGAATGTTCTCCTCCTTTCTGAAATGTTTTAGGTGCACACATTAGTTTGTTGATGAAAAAAGTTGAAAAAAATAAATTTAAAAATACATATAATTATGTTCTAAAAAGATATACCAGCTGTGCAGCATGGGCTTCATATGGACTCTCTAGTTCATCGGCCTGCAGAACAATTAAACAGAAATATAAAAACAGATTTTTNGTGAATGTTCTCCTCCTTTCTGAAATGTTTTAGGTGCACACATTAGTTTGTTGATGAAAAAAGTTGAAAAAAATAAATTTAAAAATACATATAATTATGTTCTAAAAAGATATACCAGCTGTGCAGCATGGGCTTCATATGGACTCTCTAGTTCATCGGCCTGCAGAACAATTAAACAGAAATATAAAAACAGATTTTTAATGAAATTATAAACCAAAAGAAGATGAAACAGTATTTTATTATTACATTAGAAAACTGAGTAGCAAACAATAAACTGAATACAGTGAGGACAACAATGAGTTTCATCATTCTTATTTTTTTTCTTGTGCTTTTGTGTTTTGACCTTTTATGTAGTTCACCGGTCGATGAT